TGAAATGGGTTAAAAGTCTGACAGGCATGCCAAATATTTTCACTACAAACTAACTATGAGCGGAAATTAGTTTAGTGATATGTCAGTGGAGGCAAAGCGTAATGATAACGAAAGCAAACTACGCAAGGCAATTTCCATGCAAATGTAATGAAGATCGAATTGCGAGCCAAGCATATGCAAAAAAAGCATCGCGATTATAATGAACCTTTTGTAAATATTATAATTATAATATATGGTTCAAGTAAATTTAGTATTCTATATGATAAATGATTATTTCAAGTTTAAGAGGCACGTGTAACTTGCAAAAGTTTGGCAAAATTAAAAGTATATGAAACTAATTTTAAAAATTATTTGTCGGTAAGTAGATAAGAAATATAAGAAAATCCCCAGGCGATGAATATGTGAATGCCTACTTAAAATGAAGTCGCATTTCTCTCTTTTTTTAGTCATGTTTGTTTATTTGTTCTTTATTAGTTTATAATTCGCTACTCTCTAAGTTTTAATTAAGACCGGGTACGTTAAGATGAACTTAGGGGCCGTCCTAAATTTGGGGGGGGGCTTGGTCTGCGGATGACGGTAAATGATAGATGGGGGGGGGGGGGGGGGGGCGGGTTGGTGTTTCGAAATTGACGTCATTCTTATTTATTTATTTATAGTTTATTTTCACGTACAAAAAGATTATTTCTGAAAAGAAATTTCTTCCAGCATACGTAGTAAAATACTAGCTGCCCGCCCCGGCTTCGCCCGTGGTACTTACATGTATTATACATATAAATCTTCTTTAAGAATCAGTCTATATCTGTCCAGATAAACCAGATCCGGAGATTGGCACCCATCCTGGACCTGAATGGTACACCAAGCACGTTAAGGAGTCTCAATATATGTTACAGATTTCCAAATGCTCAGATCTGGCTTGCTGCACAATGTCACGTAGCAAATTACGCAAGATCCTCCCTGATGGATTTATGCCGTCAGCCCTGCTGCTTACATCAAATCTGGAAGCAGCGCCTCCTTTAAAAGAGGACGCCAGCTTCTGTCCTCTTTACCTTTAGTTAGCACTGAAAGTGGATGTACCTCTTGGACATTTTAAGAAACTTCCATATGACTTCTACTGTCCTACGTTACAAGGCGAGCTAATAGAAAGATGCTGTTCGAAATGTGGTACTTACTTTGCTTCAAAAACCTCCATGAAGGAGCACAAAAAAAATATGAAAGATTATGTACACGGTTCCCCGGATCAGGTATTGTTTTACATAGGCACAAAAGTTCTAAAATCTGAAAAAATCGATGACGTAATTTATGGACGGCCCCTTATCGGAGAAATATTTCAGATGCAGATACAGAGCAAAATTTTATATTGCAATAGAATTGGGAAAATTATTATATAAAGAATATGGCGGATATAATATTTTCTGGACAGATTTCACAATGTTTCCACATTAAACTATAGTATGTTTAAGATTATTCGGTCTCTTAATTTTGCAAAGATATCCTACAAAATAAGCGATATAAATGATATTGAATGAAATTTTTATAGTTCGTATATGTGGGCTAAGAAAGTTACTAAACCAATTTTTAGCACTATAACTCATTATTAGCAGGAAAAGATGTCCTCCGAATTTCACACAGATATCTTAAAGGTTTGAAATATAATATACTGATTTCTACCAATTTTAGATGGTGAATACCAAACCTTAAACGAACTATTCGGTCAAAGTTTCGTTCCGATATCTCAATTGCTGTCCCTTTTGTCATATATATTAAAGTAGATAACACGTATATTTCACACGCAATAAACATTAATTAGCAAGAAAGCGCATTGCTTTCATTTGAACTGGAAAAATATATTCTCCGAAAGGAAAAATGTGATTGGAGACAAAAAATTTAACCACGAGAAGGTTATACTTAAGTATATATGTAACCATATTCATATGCCTTTGTGTAGGCATGTGTGTTCAATGCAGTAATATTGTATTTGCGGCAAAGCGGCTGACACAGTAACTGAGCTATTTAGCCTACATCCGTCTCTACATAAACGCTTAGCAATCAACTATGTGTGGCTACATGTCTGTTTGTATTTGTGTCAAGGTGGAAAACGGGTCACGTTGTGTGTTGAAAATTGAATTGATTTTGGTGTAATGCCAACACCGCTGCCAATGTCAACGTGTCGCTATTAAAGGGCGCTGACGGCGCCCCTACTCTAGTTGGCATTTTTCATACATCTCCACTTAACAAAGCTTTGGTTTCAGATTTCTGCCACCATTACCCACTAACGTCCGCCCGCTGCCTTATTCATTCAGCCATTTTCGCACATTATACGTGTCAGATTAACTTAACAAGGTATTATCGAAGCAGTCAGTCGTGCACACACACACACATACATTCTATACACAAACATGCATACATAACTGTATACATTCATAGAGGTAATCGCATACAAGTATAACGTAATAGATTATAGGTGTGCAGGAGATAGGATATGCCTACTGCATAGCATGCTTAAGCAGACCGACAGACAGGCGCACGACGTAGTAATTTTAATGTACATTTTGCAAATCAATGAAATCTGAAACGACTAAGTTGGCGCCTCATTGACTGCCCACCTTCCACTCCAGCGCCTAGTCGTTGCGCTGACTAGTTTAATAGGCTAGCTGAATGGGTGAGAATTCGTCGATAGGCTTATGCATTGATACATAATGTGAATGTATGTGTATTTGAACGTTTCATACATAAGCACATATCTATATGTATGTTCATATATTAGCCAAGTAGATGGAAGCAAGGATTTTGTTTTCGCTGATGGGATGTAGGCGTATCAAAGGATGACGGTATTACATTAGTGGCAGCTGTGTTGTGTGGATTGAGTAGTCGTTTTTGGGATATGAATGGCATTACAAGTACGCGGGTATTGTTGTTGGTATAGCCTTTGTTGTTGTTGTTGACGTTAATTGAATAGTGCAGGTCGCTTGAGATTAGGTATGATTGGCACACAGTACGCATTTGGTTGTGAACGCAATACAATAATGACTTAATGTCATGGCTGAATATTAAATTATTAGTTATGTGGCAATGATGCATAATCAAAGCTTTCAACTTCATAATCTATACCTATACATAGCGATTCATAATGTGTTAATATAATATTACATAGCATAAATATGTATAGTGTACTCGTATAGAGATTTTAATTTGTCCGATGGTTGTTTGATATAGCATAAAATATTTGAAAATATATATAATGGTATAACATAATGGCAAAAAACAAAAATTATCTACTCAAAACGAGATGACGAATTGTTTTAGGCAAATCTAGTTCTATTCGAATCACATCAAAGATTAAGCCATTCTATAGCCCTAAAAATTGGCCTAACATTTATTGTGCGAGTAACAAAACCGAACGTTGACTGTGGCATATAGTGAAGCTACCTTGAACAAACCCAACGTTTATCGGTAGTACAAAATTTTCTCAAAGGGCCGAGAAGATGTGAACGACGAAAAGCGTGCCGGACGCTCGAGCACGTCAACAAAAGATAAAAATAATATTAATGAAGTGAAGAAGTGAATAAAATAGTATTGACCAATCGTCGAATTACCATTAAAGAAATTGCTGAGGAATTAAACATATCGATTGGCTCGTGCCATTTGAGTATGAGTCGGGTCGCCGCGAAGTTTGTGCCAAAATTGCTCAATTTCGACCAAAAAGGATGAAGAGACAAGTTGAAATTCGGGTAACTGTTCGTCTTGATGAAATTTGGTAAACATGTTTCTTGGCACCATATGATGGTTGGCATTGCAGTTGGCGTAATCGGACCACTGCCACGCCCACAAAACTCTATTGATCGAAATTTATTGGTATAAATTGCCATAACTACAATATGAGATATAAGGCTCTTATTTGTTATAAGAAATAGCATTAGGGATGGGTTTAATATGCATATCTCCAAAACCACTAAAGCTATAATACCCAAATTTGTTTTGTTAAAAATATATCATATATCTCCGGAACTACCTGATCAATTTCAACCAAATTTGGTACATAGAACTAGGCGAAATCAGACTACAACCATGTCTACTTCCCAAAATAACACAATTCCTGTATGGGGGTAAAACTTTGCACAACTAGTGCCTTCGGGGTATACCATTTCAAGTCCAAAAATTTCTAAAATCTGACTATAACTCTTCACGCTCCCAGTTACCGAATATGGGGACCCAAGTGCCTGATTCTAACTTATTACCGGAAGTAACGGTCAATCTTTGAGATACATTAGTGAAATTTATAAAAAATCTTTCTGATAATAGTATACCTGTATGTCAAAAATGGATTGAATCGGGTTAATACTTCCTATAGCCCCCATATACTTTATCGAAATATATTCGAAATTTGTTTTACTTTATACCACATACAAGTATATTGGCCAATAAGTGAACTATCTTAATAAAACTAAGTCAAAGTATTTTTCTTATAATGGTTCCTATTTAGTGCTTAAAATGTGTAAAATCGGGTGAAAACTTGCCCTAGGCCCATATAACTAATCACAGAATTTTCAAACACCCGGTTGATTTTATTCATATGTTGGTGATGGTATGGGAGCTACCTTAATGAAAGTCAGAGAACATTTTATTCAGTTAGTAGTATGTTGTATCGCCAAAACTATCCCCTATAACTCATACACCTAATATAATCAAACATCCGGTTGCTCTTATGATGGGGAGCTGAAGTGTTGCCACTCATATACGAAATGTAAAATTATTAAAAGTTCTAACAAGTCTAACGTCATTTTACCCACAGAAGCATAAAATAGCTCTGATATATTATTTGCAATAACAACTAATAATTTAAAACAAATAAATTGACCTACTTACTTATTTTTTGCACAAAATATTCACTTTGAAGAAAATAATTAAATTCAATGCAGTGAGAAGTTTTAGTACGGCAAAAACAAAGTTGTGTAGATCAGCCGTTTTATATGTCGCTGCCGTTTTCAAAATGTGCAAGAAGCTTAGTTCAAGACGAAATTTGGCGACAAGAAAATTTCGGAACTCGGTTTTATACCCATTTTATGTGGCATGGCATACCGTAGTTTATCCCAAAATCTGTCATCTTGCCAATCCAGATATGTGTTCATGTTCAAATATGCTTTCAATTCCTTATCCAATAACCCACTGTTGATAATTTCACCATATTTAATCATAATTATGCGTGTACGACCTTCGTTCAACGAGCACTGATGCGCTGTGCGAAACTCCATGCACGCCCATTCCGATTCGATGAAGTGCTGCGAGAGAACAATGATCGTACGACGCGACTGCTCGACCGATTCGATGATTTGTTCAGGTATATACGCGCCTGCCAACCAATTTCGTTCGTGCGTGCATATACGAAATGGTGGTTCGCATTGCTCGAGTTGTGGCAATAAAGTCTGGTTGACGAAGTCAGCCTCTTGGTGTGCATAGGAGATGAACGCATCGAATGTTTTATTCTTATCCAGCTCATGCTCATTAATGCAACAGCTCAATATGTTGCGACTGTATAACCAGACTTTCACTTTTATATTATATTTATAGAATAACGCGATGATTAGAAGTAAAATAATAATAAGTGACGCTGCAGAAGTGACAGCCACGGTCAGGTACTTATAATATTTAACGTTAAGATCAGTTTGGCATAATTCGCTCACGCTCTCTGTTAGGAGGGTAACATTCTGTAGATTATTACATCGTAACTGCTCGACAACGGGTATGCGTTGCCGATGTGCGCGTACAGTGTAGAGCAGCTGTTGAGCAGCACAGTCGCAAAACCAAGGATTTTCACTCAGATTCAGAAATTGTAGTTTCGTGCTCTCATTGAGAAAAGCACGCAAAAAATCAGCACTTAAGGATTTCAAACGATTATTACGTAGATCCAGCACTGTCAAATTGGTTGGAAGTTCAAAGAGACTTATGTTGAATATTTTATTGTTCGAAGCGTAGAGTTTTGAAACGTTTGCATAGCCGAATGTGATGTTTGGCAGCAAACTCGTGAATTTATTACTGCTAATATCAAGTATCGTAGTCGTGAGCGCAACTTGCTCGGGACGTGGCAGCTTTTTGATAACGTCGAGTTCCCTACCGTTGCAGTTGATGGTCAGGAACTCAGATTTAGTGTAACAAACGCATTTGCTGGGACACAGTACAGGTTGCCAAGCACACAGTTCGTCCCGTCGAAGTTGCGCGAGATTAAAGCTACTCAGAAGATTACGACTTAAATTTATTACTGCTAAATTACTTTTGTTGTCTTTGTACTCTTTAGGTTGCAATTTGCTTATATAATTCAGGCTTTCTGCTAAGTCCAAATTCATAATCATGTTACTATATCGCAAATTTGTTGGAAATGTAGAGGAAGAATTGGCGTAATTTTCATTGGCCAAAATCGTTTGCAGTTTATTATCGCTTAGGTCTAGCCTATGTAGAAAATGCAGCGGTTTCAGAGCTTCTATAACATTTGTAGTATCGTGTAATTCATTGCCTTTGAGTTTTAATTGCCATAGCAAAGGAGTTTTCGCGAAAAGTTCAGGCGTTAAATATGTCAATAAATTGTTACTCAGGTCCAGTATTATAAGTTAAGGCTGATTTGAGAATAAGTTTGGTGGCAATTCCTCGATTTTATTGCTGCTCAAATTCAGAAAATGTAAGTTGCCTGTTAGTAGCCGATAAGTCAAGTTGACTGAGTGCAGTAAGTTTTTGAAAATGATCTTGCGTCAAGTTTCGCAGCGTTATGTGCTGTTTCGTTAGAGCTTTTACGCTAAGTGCAAGCGTTTGCAATTTGTAGTACATAGAAAATATATCAGTTGGTACAGTTATAATGTCTAATGATGACTTTATAATTAATTCAAAGTGAAGTAGATTACGTACACGATAAAACGCATTAGTTGGTTTTATACCAAAGTCGGTGTCATAGATCATCATAGCTTTATCTCTACCCGCAATTAACAGACTTTGCCGCACTTCGCTACTCATTAACTTTTCGAGTTTAAAGTCAATGCAATCGTACAGTTCATTGTAAAGAGTGTTACGAAGAATTGGCTGAAATGTATGCTCGAGTAGAAGATCAATATGTTCTGTTTCTCTATCACAAAACACCATCATTACTCGCGATCGCGAAATAATTTCTATATTTATATTGTCATATTTACAATACATATTGCAATAACATCTGCAAGAAATTCCTTCACCTTTAGGGCAATCCCAAGGGTATTAAACACATATTTGATAAGTTAATTTAATTTTAAATTAGTTTTTGCTGTTATTGTATTTATATTTTCTCTTCACCAAAGAAGTCTTGCGTACTAAAACGTAAATCACAAACTGAAGCAGAATAAACCATATAAATCGTCATTTAATTTCTTATCAAAAATATTTTTGAAAACCGCAAATTCTGAAAGCACTCGTTGCAACAAACCTATAGGAATGATAAAATTAAACAAACGATAAAACACGGAATATTTTTTTGAGTAATCGAGAATATATCAATATTGTATTGTTGTGCTAATTTACAATATAACTAAAATATTGTCCATTTATTATCCCGCAACATGTTTTAAAAAGTATATGACAAAAATAAATTCGTTATTTTTGCATTAATTTTACAGTTTTTTTCAGCATAGTTAAAATGATCAGACTTTTGTTAAATATGGTTTGGTTCCGAAACTGTTAGCATTTTAAAGTAAATTTGTTGATGCCACTCTTATAGAAACCCTGGTACCTGTTGGCAAAAAGCTGGAACAGGTAGTCATTTGGTGCCAGGTGAGCACCATGAGATAGATGGATAAGAACCTCCCAATCAAGCTCTCGATGTATCACTATTGCTAAGTGTGGCCTGGTATTGTAGCGATAGAATACAATCCCTCTTCTATTTGCCGCTTCTAGGCGATTAATTCCTTCAAACGATTCAACTGTTGACATTAGAGGTTCCAGTTAAGAGTTTGGCCATAGGAAAGCATCTTAGTAGATAATTCCCTGTCAACCCCACCATAGCAAATTCTTCCTGACCATCAATCTTGGTTTGGCTGTGTAATGCGCCGCCTGAATGCAGTTCGACAATAACCATTTTCGCTTGACGTTGCCGTAAGTGATCCACTTTTCATCACCAGTATCCCAACGCTTCAGAAATTGATCGATTTGGTTGACTTTCAGAAGCGATCTGAAGATGGAAATTCAGTTTGTGATTTATTTTTTTTTGGCGTGAACTTGGGTGTTGTTCTAACATCGAGCTTCTTTCTGTATCCAGAATTATTTAAATGCTTTCAATGGTTTTTTGTGCAAAGCTATGACGGTCGACGATTTTCATATATTTAGTGATATTTTCGGCAACGGGTCCTTTTCAGAGCGTAGTGCATTTTGTTATCAAAATTCCGGGAAAAAAAATTGGGCTTTTGTCTTTGTTACAGTACCAGGACCATAAGCACTATTCATATATTCAGGAATCCGGTTGGCGTTTTCGCTTTTTATTGAAGGAAAACTGTTACATTGGTCGTATTATCTTTTTTTTTTATAGTATGGGGAAGCATCGAAAGCCGAAGTGCGGAACTTTAATCCGCTAAACCTAACCTACTCCGATCTCATATCTCTCCCACGGAACCACCAGATTAAGTATTACTTCATGGGAGAGCAAATGACATTTAAGTCTACCTCTACCGTACGGACTGACTGACTGACTCTTAATCTGTTGTAAGTATCTCAGTTTTGTCATAATTAAAGCTGACGCTTCGCTGACAGCTTTCCATTTATCAGAGGACTGACACATATGTGCTGTCAAGGTTTCCACCGTTAGACTACCGAGTGTAGATTTTAACTTTTCCCTAATATTCAAAAAACGGGGGCACTGAAAAAATACGTTTTCAGAGTCTTCTATGCACTCTGCACACGTCGGACAAAACGGACTTACATCATGATGAAATTGGAATAGATACTTTCTAAAGCATCCATGCCCACTCAGTATTTGAGTTAGGTGGAAATTTAGATCCCCGTGTCGTCTGTCTATCCATGAATGAATGTCCGGAATTAATCTGTGGGTCCATCGTCCTTTAGATGAGGTTTGCCACCGTTGCTGCCACATTGTTAGGCTTTGGTTCTCTCTTCTTTTTTTACTCCTGAAGACGGCACTGAGCGCTGGTACAGTCGCGCGAATTCGTCCCCCTGGATGTCAATAGGCGGCATGATGCTGGCTAATACTTCAACAGCATCACTTGATATCGTTCGAAAATCACTTATTATCCGAATTGCAGAAAGCCTATGCACTGCGTTTATTTGTCTAGCATATGATTTTATGTCTAGCGCTTGTATCCATATTGGTGCTGCATATAATATCACCGAACTCATTGCTTTTGCTATTAAAAATCGCCGGCTTGAGCGCACGCAGCCTCTATTGGCCATCATTCTCGATACAGGTGTTCTTAAAATTTTAATTTGGAGTCAAGTATTACTCCCAGATACTTCATCTGCGGCTGTAAAGTAATCTCGCACTCCCCTATGGTGAGTGACAGTCTTTCTTCCACCTTCCTTGTGCTTATGAGCTAAACTTCCGTTTTCTGCTCGGCCAGCTCTAAGCTCATGGTAGCAAACCATTGGCGCAGACCATTTATGCAATCGTTGCATTTGATCCTGAGATCGTCTAAATGTTTAGCCACTGCTACCACTATGAGATTATCTGCATACGCTATTGTTTTCACGTTTTTTGGTTGATGTATTCTTAGTACCCCGTCGTACATCAAGTTCCATAGTAGGGGGCCTAAGACCGAACCTTGCGGTACTCCACCCGAGATAGTGTAGCTCTGAATGCCCTCGTCGGTGTCGAATAGCAAAATACGATTTTTAAAATAGCTCATTATAATGTTTACGAGATATTGGGGAGCGCGTATGTCGTATAGAGCTTTGATTATATTTGCCCAGCTTGCGGAGTTGAAAGCATTCTTAACATCCAGAGTAATTAGCGCGCAATACTTTTTTGTGCCACCTTTCCATCTTTTGCCACTTACTGCACATTTCGCAGTATCAACGACTTCTCTTAGTGCGTCAATAGTGGACCTCTTTTTTGTAAAGCCGTATTGTCTTTCTGATAATCCGCCGGCTTTTTGGATGACTAGCTCCAAGCGGTTTCTTACAATGCTTTCGTACACTTTACCAATCGTGTCGAGCATGCAAAATGGTCGATAAGATGAAGGTTCATCCGGTGGCTTTTTTGGCTTTGGGAGCAGTACCAAACGTTGTATCTTCCAGGGGTCGGGGAACACCTCCTCTGTTATACGCGTTGTACATTTTTACAAACAAACTGGGATTTATGGTCATGGCTTCCCCTAGGGTTCTGTAGGGTATGCCATCTATTCCAGGCGCTTTGTTGGTTTTTGTTATTAAGTGACCTTACTTCGACTTCAAGGTTAATAATATCAAACATCCAGCTGCTAAACATGTTTTTTTGTTATTTCCGAATTTCTGTATTCTCGCAAAATGTTGCACAAGATACCATGGTCTGCTGATCGAACGGTTAGTTGCAACCAGTTAACATATTTATACCACATTTGCTACTGAAAATGTATAAAGTAGATCTGCAGTCTCTCATAGCTCAGTAATAGGGTCTGACTGTTTGCTTCTATGTATCAACATAATAAAATTTTATGGGAAATATTACATTTTTTGGAATTCCTTTGCCAATTTCTTTCCATAGTTTATCCGTTACTTTATGAAAGTAGTAGTTGAATGGTTTTTTATGTGTATCATTAAGTTTGAGTGTTTCTTTTCAAATGGATGCATCATCTTAGTTTTATTTGCAAAATTTTTAAAAATATATATTTTAATGCCTTTCCTGTTGTTATTCATTATTTTCGTGTTTTCTGCTCACTTAGCTGCAGAACTGTTATAGTGCTAGTGTGGCAACGAAAAGTGCCGATAGCTTGTAGGCGCGGTGATAACCAGAATGATCGAACAAGTTTACCCAGTGGGATGTTTTATAGGCTTGGATTATATTTGGTGACAGACACTTATTAGTCATTAATTAAAAGAGGATAAAATATTTGTAAACCAAAAAAATGGTAAAATATAAAAGTATAGGGTTTATTCGAGACAATATGGCGAAGTTCAAATGGGGTCTGTGGCATGAAGCAAGTCATTCCCATTTACATATTCAAAATTTGATTTATTACCACTCTTTTTTCAATTGTGCGAATTCGGATCTATTAAAGAAAGATAAAGAAAAACTTACAACTAATTTTTTACAAGGCTCTTCGAAACACAATATTTTCATAATCTTGCAATAATATATATTATAAACAGAGTATAATAGTTTTGTCTACCGAACGGTTGTTTGTATAACCTAAAACGAATCGTGGAAATGATTTCAACAAAATTTTAAGCATAATATTTCATAAATATGCGTATGTTACAGTGTAATAATCGAAATAGGTCCAAAATCACAACATCTCAAGTCACACAAAACCGTACAATAACTTTCAGACCCTTATATACTGAATATGTGTATCCCGGTGCCACTAGAAAATTTCTAACCGAAAATTCAAAGAATTCGTGAAATCACAAAGAATCTTTTCCCGATAATAATGTGCTTTTGTGCCGGAACTGGGTGAATAATACTGATCTATGGAGAGTATTGAATATGTTGGCTCTGTGCGAGCTCTAATTTAAAATTGTAGAACACGAAGTACGCAAACGCGAAAAAAAGCAAAATCATAACCTTGCGTGAGTAGAAAATGTTTGGTTACACCCGGACCAAGCCATCCTTATTTTATAGCTAAATGAAATTTCAAACTCCTTTAATCTGAGTCATAGTATTATATTTTGTTTCTTTCGCTGAAGCGCCTAACGTGATCAAATATTTTCGCAGAAACGTCGGTTTCATTTAAAAACAAGTAAGGAAGGGCTAAGTTCGGATGTAACCGAACATTTTATACTCTCGCAAAGTCAAATGGTATACTCGTTTGAGATTTCTTTGTGGATTGACTGATATTTTCGGTAGAAGGTCAACTATAGGCACTGGGGTCCACATATTTAGTACTTAGGGGTTTGAACAGTTTTGGTTCGATTTAGACAATTTTTGGCCACAAGGTGGCATACTTTAATCGCATTATTCACGCAAAGTTTTATCCCGATACAGTCATTGTTGCCTGATTTGCATAGTGGAAAGTGAAATAATCAGATGGAATTTAAAATGGTGTTATATGGAAAGTAGGCGTGGTTGTAGTCCGATTTCGCCCATTTTTGCACTGTGATATAGAAACATGAAAAGAACGTTATGCACCGAGTTTGGTTGAAATCGGTTAAGCAGATCTCAAGATATGGGTTTTCACCTAAAAGTGGGCTGTGCCACGCCCACTGTCTAATTTTGAACGCGGTTCCTATAAAGTCATCTCATACCATCCCAGAGATGAAATTTAAAGACTCTGGCGTGTTTAGTGCTTGATTTATCGCGCTTTTAGTAGTTTTTAACAGTACCGTTATATGGGGAGTGGGCGGAGTTGCCACCCGATTTCAACTATTTTCACACCGTCAATAGAAGTGCTAAAAATATTTGCTTCCAGTGAATTTTGTTATTATAGCATTAGCGGTTTAGGAGATATGCACATTAAACCTATTAGAGGCGGGACCACGCCCACTTTTTTAAAAAAAATTTTAACTGCAGATGCCCCTCCCTAATGTGATCCTGTGTACCAAATAACAGTCTTGTATCTTATTGCGGAGCTTAGTTATGGCAAGTTATTTGTTTTTGATTAATGGCGTTTTGTGGGCGTGGCAGTGGTCCGATTACGCCCATCTGCAATACCAACCGTCTCACGGTACCATGAAACATGTCTACCAAGTTTCATAAAGATATCTCAATTTTTACTCAAGTTAGAGCTTGCACGGACGGACGGACAGACGGACAGACGGACGGACGGACAGACAGTCACCCGGATTTCAACTCGTCTCTTCATCCTGATCATTTATATATATATAACCCTATATCTAACTCGATTAGTTTTAGGTGATACAAACAACCGTTAGGTGAACAAAACTATTATACTCTGTAGCAACAGGTTGCGAGAGTATAATAATATTTATATTTAATGCGAGTCCAATAATATGCTATTCAGCTATTGAACAACAAATATTATATATTAAATTTTCCTCTACTGGCCGCTAAACTGTGCAAGTTTAAGAGTTTTCAGTAGTAAGCAATTTAAATGAATATAGACCCAAAACAATCTTATGAAGGGTCATCCCTACTTTCTCTCGTTCAACTTTGACTACGGCTTAAACTAGTCAGAGCCCTACCATGGGATGCGGGTTACAAAGTCGCGCTTATAGTTGGCTTCCATACTTAATAAAGGATGCATAAACATTTCTACTTAGATACGAGTTTGTGTATTCACAGGCATGTGGGTGCAGTGCAGATTCCCATGATTTCTCGACACAGGTGTAGCTTATTATTATTGTACATAGAAAGCTGCATTAAGAAGGAATATGTGAAGTGGATTTGAAAGTAGTAGCCATTTTCCATATATGTGTTCTTTTTTATGCTTATGTATGTGTATCATACCCATTTCTACACTTGTGAGTCTGCTAGCAGCTAATACAAATTCTGAATAATTCACGAAGCTAATTTTTGCATAAGAACGTTTTGTTTTCATCGCTGTGTGCGTTATAGCGCTTTGAGTACGAGCAATGTTCAGAGTGCCGAAAGAATCAACCAGAAGTGGGAATAAGCGACATAGTGGTGTATTTGCCACCTAAGCATGTGTATGTTATGGGTGTGTACTTATGTACTAGTTTATAGACTTGTTACTAAAGCACATATGGTTCATACAAATGTATCTCTTGGTGCATAATTTGTAAGCCATAAAAACAAAATGCGAAAACAAAGATAAAAAAAAATTTGAAAAATACAGCAGGTTCGGCAAAAATTTCACGTAGAACGTACAGTTAATATTTCTGCTATTATTTCAAATATTTTCAACGAAATTGCATTAATACTTTTTTTAATTCTCTGCAATATTTTACACATTTTCAAGAACAAACAAAGTCGCTGCTGTGCAGCACAGTTGCCTTAACGTTGTCAAGTTGTCCTGCTGGCTGGTTAGTTGTTTGCACTGTCTGCTTAGGTGCAAGTGTGTACTGAACGATGGTTGCGTATACGCCATGGTACACATTTAAATACCCAAGGAATTGTATAAATATGCCCGTGTTAGTTGAAACCAGAGGCTTGGAATATTTTTAGCAGTTAGTCAAAATCTAATCAAAATATGCAATCACATAAAATATACTTTTTTTGATGTCATATAAATGTGAGATTTCTGCTTTGAGTTATTTTATTAGAGTTAATTACAATTTGATCAATTTTTAAATTATCTCAATTTATTAACTGCTGAGAACTCTCTGAGAATACATATAAACTAGATGTAAAAATGCGGTATGCACTGCGGACTGTGGTTTACTGTGCTCTCCTCTCTTATCTCGTCTTTTCATTTAATCCAAGTCCAATTAAGAAACTTAATAGCATGATTGATCTAATGGAAGAGTCATGCTCTTTTGAAAGATATATCACTTCCATAGACTTACTCCTTCTTGCGATTGCAGAGAAGCATATGCTCAGGTTTCTTCGCTGCAAGGTTACAGAACCGACAGTAATATGACGAGCAAATCCTTATGTTGTGCATATGACACCACAAGCTGAAAATACCCATCTTATTACAATATGTTGCCTTAGTTTGTTTTTGGGGAGAACAATTATCGGTTTCAGCCTTTTCAGATCCCTGCCTAGTAAGGTCCTAATATTTGCAGTCGGTAACAATTCCTATTTGTTCTTTTTTTTCAGATTATTTCTTTCATAATTATACTTCTATTTTTTGTGAAGAAAAAAGTATCCAATTCGATTGGCTCGGTTGGCGATGCTTCTTTGATGTCGGCCAACCCATTTACTTCAATACCTTTTTCCTCATTAACCAATGCTAGAAATACACGATTTCATACAGCCACACTTTTAAGGTTTGCAAACTCTAGTACCATTATTTATTTGATGTCAAAGGATTAAATTTCCTGAAATCTTCCTCCGTGATGGGTTTGCTCTAATGGCGCACCTGCTGATTACATAAACCTCATCTGTACAATGCTTCCCAAACTGACACTTTGCTCTATCTTAATCTTAATTTGCTCATTGAATGTGTTACTCAATTTATTGTTCTTTGTAATGTCGTCTTTGTGATGGAGTGTCATCGGTATATTTTCTAATGAAACTGGTTTCTTTCTATACTCATACGACGTCATAATGATAAGTGTCATTTTCTCAACACTGTAAAGCGAAGTGAGTAGCAACCCATACACATGTCAATAATTTCCGTTTGGTTCATTTTTTCCCAACTGTTGCATGGGAGAATCTTGAGACCCTAGCTACTGCTACATAGAAAGAAAAGAAGAACTTTCTTCTAGTACCAAATACTCCAAACAAAACTGAACTCTAAATTTTCTAATAAACGAACCAATAATTTTTATTCACATATTGTATTGTATTTATGAATTAAGTCGATATTGTTATACTTATATACTATATATCTATTATACTTTTGTTCTCCTTACGTTTGTTTCCAACACTTATCAAAATATTGTATGATGGTGACAAAATTAGTTAAATTCCGGATCTTGACGAAAGTACAGTTAAGTTAAGAAGGTCATCCTAACAGAGATCTCACTAAGACAGTTTAGAGCGCCGATCGGTTGTGGTGTCCAAAACTCTTATATAATTTATCATAAAACCCTCATAAATCAGCAAAACCTATCACAAATTTGTTAAGACGGCCTTTGCAAAGGCCAAGGTCTTGCACTCGCAGAATAGCTAGTTGGTAAGCGCACGCTTGAACCACAGGTGCCGTGTTAGAACGCGAGATGATAACCGAGATACAACTCTTTCCCACTCCGATGTGCGGGGGCAAAAGTGCCCCTCTTGTTAGCTTATCGGATTTGCCAGCGATTTCGCTTGTTGCAAACGAATCTGATATTGAAGTAGATTGATGCTATTTCTGGTGAGAACAGTCATTCCTTGGCTAACTTTGAGCGCAAAGTTTGCAAGCTAAGCGCTGGTGTTGCCGCTTTGCTTTCGGAGTGATTGCACATCTTAATGAACTTGGTACATTTGTTCTTTGGCTCTTAGGTCATAGTTGAAAGAGTTTTCTAGTACTCAAGCTCTAAGCTAAACTTTGTGCACATATTCTATTTCTCATTCTTATATTTCACACCCAGTGTAAAATTTATTAAAATTGGTTAGTAATCACGCTCACTCCATATGTTAAAACGGTTATACCAGCTATGCATTGATTTTTCTACACTTCAATACGCCGTCACATTTCATTATTATTGGCCAAACACAAAAAGAGCGTCACCGCATTTTGGCTCTCTGTGACCTTTTTTTGTTTTCGAAACTGAAAAATACGCTGAAAGCACTGCGAGTCATCCCAGCCAGGCTTATAACAAGTCTATAAAATTGGGTTAACTGTCGGCCAGGTTATATTAGGTCAGAAGGAGCCGATTTTGTAGTCTGTAAATTTAATAGTATTGATGATGCGTCTAAAACTTTTTCTAGCTTTACTACACTGAATATGAGAATCTCCGCATCTTTATAGGTCTAATATCGAAATTATCAGTATATGTTAATCTTGTATGCAATTTGTGTGAGTTGAGAATCAATCGGGATCAGACTTATAGGTCGGATGGCTGGAATTCTTTTAATTTAGTTATAATTATAACACTATTATATTATTCAAAGCCAGAAAATTTATAAAATTCAAAATACGCCAAGCTTTTGTTTGTTTTTTGATGCAAAACTACTCAGTCCTTACAAATCTATAATACTTGTCAACTTTGGCTGTAAGAAAAATGAAACCAATCAAAATTGACCCCACACAGCAAATAAAGACTACACAATCAAAACAAAAGCTCACAAATGCTGGTGCGGCAAACACAACCACCACCATATTTCAGTCAATTTAGCCAGCCTCGTGAATTGACAAAGCGCTCAAATTGAAAATCATCTTATTTAGCAAAACGATTGGATTTAACTCGCTTGCCCGCTTTGGAACGGAAATGAACCCATTGGGAGGCGGGCACAGTGAATAAAGTCTGGGACACACGGCCGGCAATATGTTTAGCCTGCCAGGAGGTCAACATCTGTTTACTGCCAGCCGCCAATTGTCAGTGTTTGTACGCTACCACTGCTTAGTGCTAAGTTAGCCATTCTTCCTGTCTGCTTCCTGTCACCGCCTGTGCTACTATGCTTTGTCGCTGCTTATGTCGCTTTTGTTCTTTTTGTTGTTGCCTTGTCTGCTTAACGTTGTTTTTTTTTTGCTGTTGTCACTACTTTTACATTGTGTTTATGGTATTGCCCGTCCTAAGCCCGGCCACTGTCCACAAAAACATTGGCTCGTATTAACTTTAATGCCTCTACAGATTATTATGATTATTGCTTTTCCGTTGCGCGTGTGTTTGGCTTGCCTGAATGCCTGAAATCCATTTTATTTTCTTTCACTATTGTTTTTATAACAGCATAGTACAGGGTATATTATATGTGTATGAGTAAATTTTTGGCTTAAGCTTGTGCCATGATTTTTATCCTATTGCATTTGTATTTTGGTTAATGGCACTTAATATTTCATTTCATGGTTGTGAGTCGGTCAGCTAGTTGGTATCGCTAAATATACTTGTATAGTGTAATTTTTGCGCTTTTCCTTTTTCTTCATTTTTTATTTATCTGTCGTTTGTCTTTTACGCGATTGACCACAATTGTTTGGATATCCCTTTTCGATTCTCTGCTAGCATACAAATACCATATGTGTGGTGAAGTGGGTGTGCAATTTTTTGTTTGCTAAATCGGGTCAGTTAGTGTGTATTATTGGCGGATAATAAAATATTTATTGTTAGAATGGCAATAGCTCTAATGGAAATGGTAACAACAGTACGATTTTAAAATGTCATTTTGCAACACTAAATAAATTTATA